GGCTTTTTTCTTTTTGCTTATGTGGTGCTGAGGAATCAAACCCAGGGCCTCATGCATGCAAGGCAAGCGCTCTACCACTGAGCCCTCAGCTCTTCAGCTCAAGGCTAGCACTCTATCACTTGAGCCACAGCACCACTTCCGGCTTTTTTCTAGTTTGCTTATGTGGTGCTGAGGAATCGAACCCAGGGCCTCATGCATGCAAGGCAAGCGCTGTACCACTGAGCCACCTTCCCAGCCCTGGGGCTTAAAATTAAGGACTGGGCACTGACACTAAGCTATTTTGTTCAAGGTTAGCACTCTCCTACTTTGGGCTACAACTCCACTTTTATTTTTTTGTAGTTGATGGAAGATCAGAATCCCATGAACTTTTTGGTGGGGCAGGCTTCAAACTGTAGCCTTCAGATCTCTGCCCCTTCAGTACCTAGGATTACAGGCAAAGCCATCAGTTTTGGCAAGTCTTTTTGTTTGGTGGTGGTTGTTGTTTTTGGTCATGGGGCTTGAACTCTGAGCCTGGGTGCTGTCCCTGAACTCTTCAGCTCAAGGCCAGCACTCTACTACTTGAGCCACAGTGCCACTTCTGGTTTTCTGATTGTTAATTGAAGATAAGAGTCTCATGGACTTTCCTGTTCAGGCTGGCTTTGAACCGTGATCCTCAGATCTCAGCCTCCTAAATAGCAAGAATTACAGGCGTGAGCCACTAGTACCCAGCTTGGCTAGTTAATTTTTATGTGTACAATTAGACTCAGGTTAGATGACAGACCAGTTTGAAATTTATAGTAATACTTTCTTGAGTATATTTTATTTTGTGTTTAAAAGACACAAACATCTCAGCTAGGTATGGCTTCACATGCCTACAGTCCTAGCACTTGGGAAGCAAAGGCAAGAAGATTACAAGTATGAAGCCAGTTTAGGTTACATAGGAAGACTCTGTCTCAAAAATAAACAAACCCAAGCTGGGCCCTGGTGGCTCACACTTGTAATCCTATCTACTCAAGAGGCTGAGATCTGAGGATCGCAGTTCAAAGCCAGCCTGGGCAGGAAAGTTCCTGAGACTCTCATCTCCAATAAACCACTAGAAAACTGGAAGTGGCACTGTGGCTCAAGTGGTAGAGCACTCGCCTTGAGCTGAAGAGTGCAGGGACAGCGCCCAAGCCCAGAGTTCAAGCCCCACAACCCACAAAAAAAAAAAAAAAACCCTCACTCAAGATACTTAGTTCCATAGTTAAAACCACTTTTCCCTGTAATAAATTTTATTTTTTTTAAAGTTGTGTAGCAATGAGTATGCTAGTATCTTTGTAGTGTTTTGTGTTAAATGTTAACAAGTATTTTATATTGTTTTGAGGTCCTAATCAGTTTATTTTATTCCAGTTAAGGAGAAAAATGGAAACACATTTACAGCCAGAAGGTCCAGCATCTGAACAACTTTTATCAACCATAAAGGTAAACCAAAACTTAAGTGGCTAAAAGCAATTCCAACTGCTTTTTACTACCTTGTCAGTGAGCACTTTTGTGGGGATATGACGAGTGTTCATGTTGAGTCTGTGTTATCAGAGCTGGCCCACAGCTGCTGTGTTTGACTATCCCCTGTGAGGTGGCTGTTCTTGCCCCAGCCTCCTTACTATCTCATTCAGCTGCACACTGTGTTTGTAGCCTTCAAAGGATATCAGTTTCTGAACCCTTAGGTTTCTTTTCTTGCAGTTTTCATGTGTGTGTGTCCATTCATAGTTTCAGCTCATCTCACAGGACCACAGGAATACTGTCCAGGATGTGAAAAAGTGCAGCATTAAATTTTGAGTGCAGCCTCACATTTACTAAGGTGGCCAATGGAATTCCTTAATTCTGCCCTTGCAGAAAGGTTCTGAGAAACATATTGAAGTGGAACTGCGCAAATTTCTGGCTAAATGGACACCCGACTTTCATAGTACCATCGGAGACTTAGTAAAAGGACTTCTCGGAAGATGTAAAGCAGAACCGTCCTTTTATCCCCGGAACTGTCTCATGCAGCTCATCCAAACCCGTGTGCTTTCCTACAGGTAAGTGCCTTTTTTTTTTTTCCTTTTTCTTTATTTGGTTGTTTGTTTGTTTATTGGCGATTGTGGGGCTTGAACTCAAGGCCTGAGCGCTGGCCCTGAACCTCTTTATGCTCAAGACTAGAGCTGTACCACTTGAGCCACAGAGCTATCTCTGGTTTTTGAGTGGTTAATTGGAGATAAGAGTCTCAAGGGGACTTTTTGCACCCTTTTCTAGTTTAAAACTGCAATCCTCAGATCTCAGCCTCCTGAGTAGCATGAGCCACTGGCATTCAGCTGCCCAACTCTTTTTGACCTTGTTGTTTTGGTTGTTTTGCCTAGACTGAGGTTTGAACCCTGGATTTGCACTTTCATTTTGTTCATTTGGCTTGCACATTACCATTTGATTCACATCTTTTTTTTTTTTTTTCCGGTCGTGGGGCCTGAACTCTGGGCCTGGACACTGTCCCTCAGCTCTTCAGCTCAAGACTAGCACTCTACCACTTGAGCCACAGCACCACTTCCGGCTTTTTTCTTTTTGCTTATGTGGGGCTGAGGAATCGAACCCAGGGCCTCGAGCATGCAAGGCAAGCGCTCTACCACTGAGCTACCTTCCCAGCCCCTTGATTCACATCTTGAGCCCAGCCTTTTGTGGTTGTTTTGGAGATGGAGTCCTATGGACTTCTCTGCCTAGTCTAGCTTTGAACTATGAGCCTCCAGATCTCAGTGTCCTGAGTAACTAAGGTTACAGGTATAAGCTATCCCCACCCAGCTTGACCTTACTTATATAGCTGAAGTTATTCTTAACATAGAAAATGATTCCCAGGATGAGTGTGGTAGTACTTAGCCATAATCCCAGTATTCAAGATGCTGAAGCGGGAGATTCATGTAGCCAGCCTGGGCTATATAGCAATTTACTATCTCATAAAGTGAAGATGATGGTGATTTTTTTTCTTAGCTTATGCCCCGGATTAATGGAGATTGCCTTAGAACAAACAGATGTGCAGATGTTACAGCTCTGTCTACAGCAGTTCCCTGACATTCCTGAGTCAGTCACCTGTGCTTGCTTAAAAGTTTTCTTGAGGTAAGTTGGAACCCAATGGCTTTTCCCTTCACTACATTTAAAATCTCTTGATGGACTGGGAAGGTAGCTCAGTGGTAGAGTGCTTGCCTTGCATGCATGAGGCCCTGGGTTCAATTCCTCAGCACCATACAAACAGAAAAAGCCAGAAGTAGCGCTGTGGCTCAAGTGGTAGAGTGCTGGCCTTGAGCTGAAGAGCTGAGGGACAGCGCTCTGGCCAGAGTTCAGGCCTCATGATTGGCAAAAAAAAAAACAAAACTCTTGACATTAGAATGCTTAGAAAATGAATTTTCATTTAACAGTTCAAATAATGATAAGAATTAACCTCTTGCTTTTAACATCATAGCATTGGTGATGACAGTCTTCAAGAAATTAATATCAATATGGAGTCAGTTTTTGATTGTAGTGATACTGTACAAGATGAGAAAATGGAAGAGCAAACTAAAATCCTTCAAAATGGCTTCAAACGGGAAGACAGCAGCTGCAGCACCTGTAATCAGGAGTTAAATAAAAAGCCCCAAGGAGCAGCAAATGCGACCACCTCATGCCCTGTGACCCCAAAGAGAGCAGCTCTGCTGTATCCTTTGGAGCTTGGTATATATGGAACACTTCATGGGGGTGTAGTAGTGCCAGCCAATGACTGAGGAGCCATTAGATCACTTACAAGTAGTGTGTCTCGCCCCCCCCCCCCCTGCCCACACACACACCCCAGAGTGGCTAGCTGAGCTGGCTTTGAACTTGTGATCCTTAGATCACAGCCTCCTGAGTAGCTAGTATTACAGGTGTGAGTCATCAGCACTTGGATTAAACCTCTCTCTTTTTTTTTAAACCTGTTTTCTTAATAAAAATTTCTTAATGAGCTAGGTGCCTGTGGCTCACACCTGTACTCCTAGCTGATCAGGAGGCTGAGAACTGAGGATCCTGATTCAAAGCCTGCCTTGGCAGAAAAGTCTGCGAGACTCTTATCTCCAATTAACCACCAGAAAACTGGAAATAACACTGTGGCTCAAGTGGTAGAGTGCTTGCCCTGAGCTGAAGATCTCAGAGACAGTGCCCATGCCCAGAGTTCAAGCCCCAGGATCAACCAAAAAACAAAACAAAATTTCTTAATGAAAATATGCTAAAGTAAAGATAGTACTAGTTGGGTGCCAGGAGCTCACACCTGTTATCCTAGCTACTCAGGGGCTGAGATCTGAGGATCATGGTTCAAAGCCAGCCTGGGGAGAAAGTCCATGAAACTCTTATCTCCAACTAACCACCAGAAAACCAGAAGTGGTGCTGTGGCTTAAGTGGCAAAGTGTTTGCCTTGAGCTGAAGAGCTGGGGGACAGCGCTCAGGCCCAGAGTTCAAGCCCCATGACTGACCAAGAAAAAAAAAAGTGCTATTTATAATACTATTTCCAGTTGCAACCCAAAGATTAGGAGAGTGTTCAGCATTAGATAAATAGTACTTTTATATAATTTTAGGAAAGGAAGTATTCATGTTTTCAGTAGAATAACCTTTGTTGAATTAAGAATTGTCTTTAAAAGCTGGTGCAAGTGGCTTTTATCTGTAATCCTAGCTACTCTGAAGGCTGAGATCTAAAGTCAGCCCAGGGAGGAAAGTCCATGAGACTTTTGTCTCCAATTAGTCATCAACTGGAAGTGGAGCTGTGGCTCAAATGGTAGAGCACTAGTCTTGAGCACAAAGTTCAACACACACACACATACGAGTTTTCCTTTATTCCCAAATAGAAATGCAATTCTTCACTCAGCATACAGCGAGACATTTCTTCTGCCACACTTGAAGGACATCCCTGCCAAACACATCACGGTAAGTGGTGAGCAAGCCTCGGAAAAAATAGTTCTCATTTAAGTTACACTGCCTGACTGATTATAGCTTTGTCTGGTTCCTCTTATGTAAATTTAAAATTACCCAGGCCTCATGGGTGATTTAAAAAAACCAAAGCTGGAGCTGGGAAGGTGGCTCAGTGGTAGAGTGCTTGCCTTGCATGCATTAGGCCCTGGGTTCGATTCCCCAGCACCACATAATCAGGAAAAAAGCCGGAAGTGGTGCTGTGGCTCAAGTGGTAGCCTTGAGCTGAAGAGCTCAGGGACAGCGCCCAGGCCCAGAGTTCAGGCCCCACGACCGGACCCAAAAACAAAAAAAAAACCAAAGCTGTTGAGACCAGAGTGACTTTTCAGTTACAGACCTTGGCATGTTCCACATGCTAGAGAAGGCCAGGGAAGCCTTCTGAGTCATACACGAGCCACGAGCAGAATCTCCAGCCACCTGCAGACAGACGGAGCTGTCACCTAACCAAACCGTCCACCCCAGAGCGCTCCACCATGGCAGGGACCAACTTCACTGCTGGGCCCCACATAGCTGCAGTATTGCTTTGATGTTAAATGAACCACCAGCCTCTTCATAGTTCTTGCCAGTATCTGTTAAGTTTTTATGTAGAGAAAAGTTTTCTACTGAAGTGGTAAATGGTCCTTTTTTTCCCCTTCCCTTCCAGCTATTTCTCCAGTATCTTTATTTCCTGTATCTGAAGTGCAGTGGAAATGCTCCCATGACTCTTCCTGGAATACATCCTCCAACCCTGAGCCAGGTCAGGTCACTTTCTTCTGTGTCTGTTCACAACTGTGATTTCCTCCATCTATCTTTCAGGGGGAGTAAGAGAGCCTGGGGATCACCTGCCTTGTCATGCACACACCACTAGATGTGGAAGGGGAGAGGGGCTCTGCCTTTAGTAGATTTCTACATGCATAATTCTGTATTACAGAATTTAAATTACTGATTCTTTTTTTTTTTTTGTGGGTCTGGGCTTGAACTCGGCCTGGGCACTGCCCCTCAGCTCTTAAGCTCAAGGGTAGCACTCTACCGCTTGAGTCACAGTGCCACTTCCGGTTTTCTGGTTGTTAATTGGAGATAAGAGAATCACGGACTTTCCTGCCGGGGCTGGCTTTGAACCACAGTCCTCAGATTTCAGTCTCCTGAGTAGCTAGGATTATATGTGTGAACAACGGGCACCCAGTTAAATTCCTGATTCTTTTTTTTTTTTTTTTGGTCA